GTTGAAATTTTGTAATTATGTTTGGTTATGAGAACTAAAGCTCTGACAAAAATATGGAATCGAAATAAAGTATATTACAGGAGATATTCAGTTGTTTTAATCATAAAATGGATTTCTATTTGACAACTAGTGCCAGTACTTTTCCGCGTATCAAGATCACCTGGAAGGGACGTGTACATCGAGAGGTACTTCAATCTTGGAATGGATTACGCTGAAATACTAATGTTACTTGTAGCAGCTCATGGCATCCAATTGAGTCTTCGTCAACTGAAACGAATCCACTTCAGAAAAGGACTAAGACGGCGAAAGAACCATAGCACTCCCGAGGTTATTGTAGCAGCAGTAGAACAAGAGCTGAAAAGAGCGGAAGTTTATTGGGATATCGAGAAATGCACCAAAAATTACCGTTAGATCACGGTCTTGTAGTCATCTCTGCGCTCTCGTCATATGCTGAAAAGACGTAAGAACACTAGACTTGCTCCACGTCTCTCTTTCATTGTCATATAGTATCGATCCACTATAGTGTACATTGCATGACGTAGCACGGAGAGGCGGAGCGAGAAAGAAAGATTTGTCAACTTCGGAAAATCTCGGTTCAAAACTGAACCGAAAATGCAAGACGTGCTTTAATTGTTTTCTGTGAGTGTTTATACGTATTGATCTAGCACAGTGTAAATAACATGAGTTCCAATAATTATAGTAAATGATACAGAAAGAAATTGAAGGAAAACAATTAAAGCACGTCTTGCATTTTCGGTTCAGTTTTAAACAGAGATTTTCCGAAGTTGACAAGTCCCTCTTTCTCGCTCCGCCTCTCCGTGCTACGTCATGTAATGTGCACTATAGCGGATCAATACTATATGACAATGAAAGAGAGACTTGCAGCAAGTCTATAAGAACACTAGCTCAAGAGTTTAAGCGATTAGATTTCAAGGTAAAAAAGGTTTTACTTATCTTTTGTATTTTTTGTAATCGAGTGTCTGATTTATCATGGTCTTTTTACTGATTCAACATATATCTTTATAATATGAATTGAGCCCATCTTGATCGTACTATAACACAGGTTTTTTCTTGTCATGATGATAAATTATTCGCGCACAATTAAGTGTTAAGTTGCTTTACAATTTTGCAAATATGCTAACACATCAGACGAGATAATAGTTTGTTTCATATCACTTATAGCGTATCTATTTTTAAACTATAAACTGTATACTATTTTAAGTCCACCCAATAGACCTTTATAAAAAGGTTGACGTCAGCAGGCTTGTGACGTTGTTTGCGGAAGAAATCTCGAAAGGTTAGACTTTTGTACTTGTTTTAAGTTTTTTTTTAATATATATATATATATATATATATATATATATATATATATATATATATATATATATATATATATATATATATATAAGATTTGGATTCGTTGGTTATAAAAACTTTTGGTAAAGTGCTCAATGGAAAACCAGAGCATATTTAAATTAAGTTACAACAATCAACAAAATCCACTAGGCATCTTTATTACTAAATAGTTTCGTACCACAAAATGTGGCACTCTTCAGATAAATTGACCTAATGACTATAGACTAAAATTTAATATCTTGTAAATTTTAGTCTATAGTCATTAGGTCAATTTATCTGAAGAGTGCCACATTTTGTGGTACGAAACTATTTAGTAATAAAGATGCCTAGTGGATTTTGTTGATTGTTGTACCTTAATTTTTATATATATATATATATATATATATATATATATATATATATATATATATGCTTATAATTTAAGTATATTAAATTTAATTAAGTATTTTTCCCACAAAGTATGCATTGGTGGGTTATACCCACCAATAGCTCTGGAGTAAGTTTTCAGTCACTCCTCATCAAACATCTTGCCATAAGTAAAGTGATGGCAAGATGTTTGATGCCAGTTCATATGAAGCTCGCAAATAGTTCGCATACTATTTTTAACCTTCCTAAAAAATTGATGTCAAAACAAAATTCAAAAACAATTTCCTTGTAGCTTCGTGTTAAAAAATAGAAAAGACTGAACTGGCATGCACTTGATGTCAATTTCGGCCATTTTAGCTACATTTTTTCACTTTTGGCGAGTTCTAGTTCCATATACGTGTGGAGCTTATTTGAAAAATCTTACCTGTCCCCATGCCAATAAAAGTACGGGCCGCTATATAGACAGCAAAATGTTTCGGATATACCATTAACCAGGTGGCAAGTGTAACTCCTATTAGTGAAAAATCAATTGTTATCTTTCTTCCCCATCTGTCTCCTGCATAACCACCAACGAGAAATCCAATAAACATACCGACCCACGCACACGACTGAGCAACCACGAACAGATACGACTTGTCACATATTAGGTCATACTAAATAATAAAACAACAATAGCACTAGAAATACAATCATGCATTCACAAACCCTATAATTATTTTCCAAATATTGATTAATTAAACACGAAGTACTAGTAATTTGTAAACAATGAACGAAGACTCGCGTCATTGTGAGTCCAGTCATAGCAACATGTACGGTCACTTTAAAATATTTAAAACACTTTATATACATGACAAATACAAAGTTGTTAAAAGAGTAGTACTTTCAACAGTATACAACAATAAATTTCCAAAATATAGGGGTTGGGCATTAAAATGTGTCCCCTCCCCCCATATATATATATATATATATATATATATATATATATATATATATATATATATATATATATATATATATATATATATATTCAGGGTGTCTAAAAAAGCGCTATGGAAATTCAACAGGCTATCGTGCATCATAAACGATCAAGTAAGGTCTTTACTACGGCTCGCTTACTTTGGGTGGGATTATGAGAGTGAAAGGATAGCAAAATTTCTACGGGTGCGGATACGCAATAGTCTCCAGAGTGGTAGATTTCCTACGTACAGTCAGACAGCCGTGATAACTAAAATTCGTAAAATTAGGTGTGGAGCTTATATTGCGTGGTAAATGCTTTGATTATTGTCGTTTAAGCAAGATATAATAAGACAGTTAGAATTTTGAAGATAGAAATTAGAATTATAAGTTTCTGTCAACAAAACCGCAATACAGTTTAATTTGCACTGGATTGTTCACATGATTGAGATCAGTGCCTTCATATATGGGCTCCCAGAAGGCTTAGCGGGACACATTTCGAGCACAGAATAGGAAGTTATACCAGAAGCGTAACTCGAGCAAATATTTGTCCGAGTTTTTACAAGCGATTCGTCATCAATCACGCCATCCTGGCTAGTACAACCGGCACTTTGTACCTACCAAATCCTGATAAAAACTTCCGGCTGTACTAGCCAGGATGGCGTGGCCTGACGTGAGCGAATTAAAATTTTCGTGGACGTCAAACAATAAGGGAAACGACTAGAGTTACGCTTCTGGTATAACTTCCTATTCTGTGTTTTGAGCGCGTCCTTTGGAAATTTTATAGGAAGTGGTTATAGGTCCGACATTTCCTTAATAGTTAAACTCTTTAACTATAAAACCGTGTAAATTTAATTCAATTTCAAGCGAATCCTTCGTAGTGTTGTGGTTTAGGTACCTGTATTGCGTGCGCCAGGCTCTGGGATCGAATGCTGCTCGCGCCATTATTCTATTATTTTTTTATACCTTTTTTTCTTCGTGATTTTCGCGTACGAAATCGTTGAAACGTATAGCGTATAGAATAATATGTTGTTGCTTCGTTCTTAAAATACAACGCAACCA